TAATTCGCAGGGATATTTATCCTCTGTGGCACTGACCAGGATAATTTGGTACCTGTTGACAATTTAAAGAATATTTAATACCTTTACAGATTTGCCCTCTACTGCCTAATTTCTCCAACCATTGACTTGTCTGTTTAGATTGCAGACTTGCAGGAAGCTGTATGACCCAGTCTTCAGACCTGCAGGTGTTAATTAATATAATTTAAAAGAAAATAATTTGTTGGTTGATAGTGAGCTTTTGCTTAACTACAGGAGAAAACAGCTGATTTCTGTGATTTGGGTTTTCCTCTATTGGATCTTTATTTTTAAGTGTAAATCCTGCTTTTTTTGTTTGTTTGTTATTCTTCCATAAATAAGCACATATTACATCGAACTGTTACAACATTATCTTTTTAAGAATAGATTTCTGGTTTGCACTGAAATGAGATGTCCAAATCATGTATAAATTATTAATAGTATAATTATGTAGTTTTTATTCTGTATGTGTTCTAAACATTTGTCCCCTTCTTATTTTTCACTTATTTTTCTTCCGCATCTAGGGACAATCAGACTAGACAAATACAAGAAGCTGTTTCAAATGTGGAAAAACATTTTGGTGAATTGTGCCAAATATTTGCTGGATATGTACGCAAAACTGCCAGACTACGAGACAAAGCAGATCTTCTAGTAAACGAAATATATGCATATGCAGCCACAGAGACACCAAACTTAAAAGTTGGACTGAAAAACTTTGCAGATGAATTTTCCAGACTTCAGGATTATCGCCAGGCAGAGGTACAAAATTAAAGCTATCCATGTTGTGTTTGCCATCTGAACTTTTCAGTTACTTATCTGTGATTAAAAGGGAAAAGATATACTCTGCCATCACGAGAGAAACATAGGAGAAAACACTTTTAAATATATTAGTGGCAGAGCAGGATAGGCTGCCAAAGCATTCATCATTTACTCTGCTAATAACTAGTGAAAAAAACTGCCTGTGATTAGTCCTGGTGAAGTCAATGAACCTATCCGTATGAGCACTCATGGAATTTGAGACGGAGCAAGTCTTTTATTGGTCTTAGACTTTGGATTATGATTTATGGTTAATAAAGTGTTCTTTTAGTTTTGTGATGTGAGTTGTCTAGCAGCAGCTCAGGTAAAATCAGTCATTTTCCTTTTGCTGAGTCTGTTACCAGAAACAGTCTGGAAGAGAACACTAACTGGAATCCTTCACTGGGCACTGGCAGCCCCTCTGAGGTGGTGTCGGGGACCACTGTAGATTTCATGTAGATTTCTGTAGTTCAACACTAAAAGTACAAACTTGATTGGGACCACCTGTGACATTTCTGCTAGATAAGTGAGAGTGTAAAGAAAGGTGTTTATGCCGCTTACACATCTATGCATGGGGTTAGTTGAACTGTAACTTATGATCCAGAATTCCAAAGATTTAAGAAAATAAATTCATTCACAGATACTCAAACTAGTTTTTGGAGTACATATCTCTTCGTTCAGTAGGGCATAGAAAATTCCCATTTATAGTTTTGAAAAGCTAGGAACTGTTATAATTTTAAAAAGAGACTAAAGTAGTTGACAGTCTTACATTCCTACATTCCATAGGATTTTTTTTTTAAAAAAAAGTATTGCAAGTCATCTTCCTATATTAACAAAGTAGGAAAATAAAACCTTTTAAAAAAGAACTTAATGTATGAAGTATCTAGTCTACTAAGTAGAGGGTTTGAAAAACTAGAAATACTCGTGCATCTTTAACAATGTATTTAGCGCCAGATTCTTAAGAAGTAATAAGAAATTCAAGGGTGTGGATAGTGTGTGTTGGTTTGGTTTTTTGGGTTTTGGTTTTTTTCTTTTCTTTTTTCTTCCTCCCCATAAGCTCTTATGCATCTGGCTCCAGCTGAGCCACATGTAGGTTCTCAACATGCCCCGGCAATGTGCCCTCTCAGCCCAGAAACCCAGCCATATCCTGGGCTCCATCAAAAGCAGTGTGACCAGCAGGTTGAGGGAGGGGATTCTGCCCCTCTACTCCGCTCTGGTGAGACTCCCCTCCCCGCAATACTGCCTTCAGCTCTGGGGCCCCCAACACAAGAAGGACATGGACCTGTTGGAGCAAGTCCAGAGGAGGCCACAAAGATGATCGGAGAGCTGGAGCAACTCTCCTATGAGAACAGGCTGAGAGAGTTGGGGCTGTTCAGCCTGGAGAAGAGAAGGCTCTGGAGAGACCTTAGAGCAGCCTTCCAGTACCTAAAGGGGCCTTACAAGAAAGCTGGAGAAGGACTTTTTACAAGGGCATGGAGTGATGGGACAAGGGGCAATGGCTTTAAACTGGAAGAGGGAAGATTGACATTCCATATTAGGAAGAAATTCTTCGTGATGAGGGTGGTGAGGCACTGGCACGGGTTGCACAGGGAAGTTGTGGATGCCCCATCCCTGGAAGCGTTGAAGGCCAGGTTGGATGGGGCTTTGAGCAACCTGCGTGGTGGAAAGTGTCCCTGCCTACGGCAGGGGGGTTGGAACCAGGTGATCTTTAAGGTCCTTTCCAACCAAACCATTCTATGGTTCTATGATTATGCTTCAATTGACTTAACAATTTATCCTTCTGTTAACAGGGTGAATTTATGTTATGGTCAAATGTGTAAGTGAAGTCAATTCTATGGTTCTATGATTATGCTTCAATTGACTTAATAACAATTTATCCTTCTGTTAACGGGGTGAATTTATGTTATGGTCAAATGTGTAAGTGAAGTCAGACAGCATGATCTTCTGTCTGTTTTTACCTTTAAACTATTAATCTGTTTTGCTGCTTTTGATTTTTTTGTTTTTAAAAACTGACATTTGGCCTACATCCTCCTACCATGCCTGTCCCTAAACCACAACTGCCCTTTGAAGGAGAAAAGGCAGAAGCAGCAAAGGAAAAGAGAAGCTTTTAGCCTTTAAATCAAGTTCTCCTTTGCTCATGAAAACCAAATAGATAATCTCAGCTTTATTTCTTTTGGGCATCAGGTTAATTAACAGTTTTCATATATATTGACAATGTGGGCAAGAGAAAATTAGCTTATACGGGTTATCAATTTCTGGTCTTCAGCTGCAGTGCTAGATATATAAATGCTGAGGTGTGATGACATTTGGAAGGGTAAGCAAGCAAGATGGGCAGATTATTTGGTATGTCTGTATCATGCGTTTCATTTAGAGCCTTAGTGCCCTATTCAGTTCTGTTCTATTGGTAGTTTAAGTGAAATTGTTTGACAGAGCGCTGGCAGAGTGTAGTAAAGGAGAAATGTTTGCTCAGTTGGCATAGATTTTGGCTGACTGGTGACTGCCACTTTAGAGGGGAGTGTAATGTCTGTCCCTTCCTAGTAGAGGTAAGTGCCTTGTCCTAATTTGGATATAACAGTGATGGGCCAGATGACTCACTGGTCCAAAGTCATTGGCAGCTTATGCTCGGCCACTCAGGCCTTATCCTATTGCCTGTCTGACCATATGTAGCTGTTTTTCTAACTAGGAGAACTGAAACAACAATTCACATGCACTCATCTGTCAGAACATTCATGCATTTTACACAACCCCTTGTTAGTATTTTTAATATTTTCAGTACCTATGATACTGTTTCCATTATTTTTAAGAAGTGTTGCATTTCATGCAGTATGTTTGATAGCAAATATGGCTTAGACCATAATCTATCAACAAGTGTAGAGCAAATACATTGATCTTTAACTTTAGATAGAAACTACAGATCTCCAAGATGCAGTGTTTGATGTATTTAGTAGTACTCAGTTGTTAGAATCTCTGTTTCATTTATCCTGAGGTATTGCCAATGAAGGAAAAGGTATTCCACTAGAAATCAGCTTGAGCTCCTCAAAATACAAATGATTTACTGGTTAGTTTAATTGACTCTAGTTTTTGCAATATTTTTAAAACCTCCGTCCCACTATGTTTTCAGCACACATGGACTAAATTCCTAATAAGATGAGTCGCTAGTATATGAATTGTTTCCTGTTTCTGCACACTGTAGATGTCGATGATTTTAGTGACCTTGTGATTTCTTTCATAGGTTGACAGGCTTGAAGCCAAGGTTGTTGAACCTCTGAAAAGTTACGGGACCATAGTGAGACTTAAAAGGGTAGGTTAAATGTCTGTTTTTCTAACAAGGTACATTTTGGTGTTCTGGCCACTCAGTTGAAAATTCCTGTTTTACAGGGAGGAGTGGTTCTGATGTTTCATATTGCAGTAATCAGTCTGTCTAAATTATATAGTAATACACCTAAATTGAAGCTATATATATGTTGGAGGAAAAAGCTTTGATGTGAAGACAAGGATATTCAGACTCTTGGAGCACAAGCAGATGCTAAAAAAAGGCATTGTGGATAGTGTGAAACTTCCTGGATAGTGCAAATTCAGGATGATTTTCTTTACAAATAATGTCATTCTATGGTGATGATGATTATTATTATTATTATTCAGAATTCCAAAAGGTAAATTACATGTAATGCTTTTGCCTCTTGGTCATCTGTACGTTGCTTTTAACAGCTTTTCTAACTTAGAATTGTGCTCTACATTGAAGTTCATAATGTAGAAGACACTCTTTGAAACTGATAAATAGGTAGTGGCCTGAGTCCCTCTCTGTCCTGCAAAGTCATCAGGATGGCCTAAAGATACACAAAAAAAATGAGGTCTCTTCATTCACTGTGTTCTGGAAACAGTGTATATAGGGGTTTGAAATATTCCCACAAAATATCTGTAAATTTCTTTCTTCCAGGAGAGATAAGCTTGAGCAAGTGGATTTTAATAAGCAGATACCAATTTATAGGATGAAAGTAATTCTTCGTAATACTTGTATATTACATAGAGGATACCTTCAGCCTGTAAACTCAAATCTGTAATTGGTGTATATATCTGTATCATAATCTATATGAATCATTATCTGATGGTATTTTACATACAAAAATCTTATGGTGTGTTCATCACGGTTAATTTGAGTACGTTGTGGCATTGCATCTCAAACTAGCATTTTTTATATGCTTTTGTTCTTGTATCTTTTCAATATGGTGAAGAACAGAGTACAGTGTTTGAACTGACTGCACAGCTATCTCACTTGGTTGTTAGAGAAACAATTATGAAGGAAATGGCGGTACGACCTGTGGTAGTCCTTAGCAGACTTGTAGACTTGTAGACTATAGAGCCTGCATCCTAGAATTTGGTATCTTAATAGTCACTCTGAAGTGCAGTTTGTGAGACCTAGAACTAGCTGAGTATTCCACAAGATATAAATGTTGAGGGTGGAAGACAAGTTTCCTGTGCTTGTGGCAACAGCGTTGCTGAGGAGACAGAGCACTACAGCAGTGCTTGGGGCTTCCGATACTGTCTTTAGGTGCATTGCCACTGGTAGCCAGTAAATGCTGAGGACAGAAGCAAACTGAAGCCAGGTCATCCCTTGCAACAGCGAATGGTATTTCCTGTTGCCTTTGCCTTTCAGAATGCCAGAAAGCATTACGTAATGTTTATCTTGGGTACAGTGAGAAATACAAGAGCATTTTTAAACTCTAGATGGGATTAACTACCTGTAGATGGGATCAACCTACCTTTGAACTAAGAGAGACTTCACTAAAGATGTAGGCCATTGAATTGATTCCTCACCCTGCCCACCCCATTACCATAAACCTTCGTTAAAACTTGCAACTGTCTGGTCTTCAGTTATCATCTCTAAACACTGGGACATTTTAGTGGAAAAGGAAGTTTTGTCGCTCCTGTGAAGCTTGCACAGGATGCCATTTGTAGGGCTGCTTTACCTGTAACTACGTTAGCTGATAAAGTAAAACCAGGCAGAATATGTCATTATAGCACTTCTTATAAAGGGAAGTTACAAGAAGTTACTTATAACTCACTGCTACTTATTGCATCTGTTCCGGGGGTACACAAACTATTTTTGTGTTGTATCTAAAAAGAACTGTTGCTGGTTTTGTGGGGAAAGACATCAATGTCCTGTGATACTAAAGGCTTTAAAGAGGCCCAGGTCAATCAGAATAGCAATGTCCTTTAACTGCTAATGCAAGAATATTGTTCCATTCACATGTCCTGGTTGACTGCTGATCTCTGGGGACAGGATCCCAAATCTCTGGGGATCTCTGGATCCCAAATCTCTGGGGCAGGATTTGGCAGCTTCAGTGGAAGCTAGTATAATATTCTTGATCTGTAATGCAGCTTAAATGTAGGATTTTAGGATTTCTTTCTGTTTCATTGTTCTGTATATCAATCTTGACTTTTCTGCTTTTTGGCAACTCTGTTCCTGGTTCCTTTTCTTCATATAAAACAGGATATCATAAACCCAAGGTGATCCACCTGCAGAAGAAAGGACTGGTTTGCTTTAATAACTTCAGTGACTAAAGCAGGTAACAGTACAGTGATGAGGATCTGCCAGCTCATTGTCTGGTGGATGGACTGTAGCTGTACTTCTGTATCATTTGAAATTAGATGGCTGATCAGAGTTCTTATGTGTGACTTGAATTCATAGTTTTAAGCCAGAGGGACTATGAATAATTTTATATTCTCTGTACCTGTCCTTCATCTCACTGGCTGTTAGATTCCATTCCATTTCTCCTTGGGTGTTAATTAAAGAATATTTTCCAAAAACATGTCAAATCTGAAGACACTGGAGGGGACTGTAGGACTGTTCGTGGTAGTAGTTAGTTGATGTTTGTGGTGGTTTGTTTTAAATCAAAGACTTCACCTAATCTTTGGTTCTTGTATGTTCCATTGAGATTAAAGAGCTCTGTGGTCATCTATTTTTTTTCTGGATGAAGTTATTTAGATGCTAGTAAAACCAATTTTTCATTCTTTAAAGTTAGCTAATAATGTAGACCTTAAGTCTTTCACCATAACGGCATTTTCCTCAGCTTTTGAATACTTTAAATCAAAGACTTCACCTAATCTTTGGTTCTTGTATGTTCCATTGAGATTAAAGAGCTCTGTGGTCATCTATTTTTTTTCTGGATGAAGTTATTTAGATGCTAGTAAAACCAATTTTTCATTCTTTAAAGTTAGCTAATAATGTAGACCTTGAGTCTTCACCATAATGGCATTTTCCTCAGCTCTTGAATACTTTTTTATGTTTTTTTCAGCACCCATTTCAGGTTTTTAGCATCCTAGACAAAATATGTATGTAACTGTGCCCTATCTTTGTACATCAAAACTTGTATATAGCTCCACCACTATAGCCACAGTAGCACCAAATCTTTGTCAGGCTTTGGCTAGCAGAGAAGTATGTTTGATGGCTGTTGTTGCTACAGAGAACAGAGTTAGAGAAGGGAACTATTTCCAAAGTCACTCTGTGCTAGAAAGAAAATACTGAATTTTATAATGGTAGCTCTAGTGGTTTCCTTAGCAGTCTCAAGTATACTTTGCATGAAAGTCAGAAGCCTTTCAGCCACAGCGTTAAATCTGATTGACTGTTTTAAATGGGCCTAGAAAGTCAGTGCTGTGAACAGGGTCCAGTCATTAAGTAACACTAGACATGCAGCTGTGACCATTAGATACAAACCTGCTTTATTCTGTGACAGAAATAAATATGTTTTTCTCTTTTCTTTCTCTACCTTCAATTTAAAATGTAAAGCAATAAATTTTTTTCTATTATTGCTTTTCTTGCAGCTGCATGCTTTTCACAAAGGAGAAAGCCCTTTCCAGCAGTCTTTCCAATGGCCTTAAAGGTGGTGTAAGTTCCCTTCTGAAAGAACAGCAGCGAAATTAGTTTTGATGGGCTAAAGATGCAGTTGTTTTTATTATCAGAAACTAGCTCTGTGTCCCTAAAGACGAAGCAAAATGACAGTCATATATACAAGGACATACAAACAGGCATTAAAGAGAGAAACAGGGAAGAAACTGCGTGTTTTGATCCTGACCTCACGTGCAAACTCATTATTGAAGAAACACAGCACTCTTAAACTTGGCATGCTTGTGCTTGTCACTGACCCGTGATCTTGTCATTGACCAGAGACACACTCTTGGTTGCCTCTCTTTCTGGGTGAAGGAGACCTACAACCATATTAAAATTCTGAAATCCAAGGAAGGAACACAGTCAACTTCCCCAGATGATAGTTTTTTAATAGCTTAAATCCACTCTGTTCTGGAGTGGTAGATAAATGGGAACCAGTCTTTTAGAGGAAATGGTTTGAAATGCTTCCCCAGCTCCTGCCTCCGACTTTGTTAAACTGATTCCTTTGAGCTGTATTTCTGCTTGTTCTAAGATACCGCTCCTTTAAATTAGAGCCATCAAAATTAATGTAATTTCCTGTACCAGGGTCAACAGAGTGAAATATCTGACAACTTTACATTCCATGTATGCCAAACTATTTGCAAAACACGGTTTTATAGCATGAACAAGAATTTGAAAGTGGTATGTAAACATTCTTAAATTGTCACGGATCTTCCTAGAAGTACATCCTACTTCTCCTTTGGAAATGAGGAGCAAAAATACTTATGAACAGTTTCTGCCTTTTGTAGATCACTAAGTTTCATCTTCTCCAGCTACATCATTACTAGGATGTATTTTGTTCCAAATGCATTTAAACACCTTACTAACTGCATAGATCAATATGCAGTTTAACCCTTTCAGCCATGGATTTTCTATGGCACCACCTTAAGCTCTGTGTAGCAGTTTTGTGTTCATCATAAATTCTGATTGGTACTGACTGCTGTCTGTTTTGGTTTTTTCCTACTGATTTATTTGATGGCACTTTTTATTTCAAAACGCCACCTTTATTCCATTGCTAAGACCGGATCGGGCCTGTCTTCTTACCGCTTTGGGAATCTCAGCTTTTGACCATGAAAAGCTGTAAATATTTCCCCAACACACACATTTTAAATTACAGTGTGTGCTACAGAGAGTTGTGCAAGGTGCTAAACTTTCTTGGTCCCCACTGACTTATCTTTCAGGGGATCATTTAACAGGATAAGATCAGTAAAATCTGGTTTTGTTTAAAGCAGATGTTTTGTTCATGTTTTCTAGGCAATGCATGTATGAAGAAAAGTGCATTTTGTGTTATCCTAGATCTATTTCAAACATGTCTAAAATATTTTATTTCCAGGATGATCTTAAAGCAACTTTAACAGCAAAGAACAGAGAAGCCAAGCAATTATCTCAACTGGAAAAGACACGTCAGCGGAATCCATCAGATCGACACATTATTGTATCCTGTATTTCTAGTGGCTATAAGAAATATTTTCAAAATTTCTCTGGAATTAGTGTTTAGAAAGTAGTAAGAGAAGAATGCTCTTTAGAGGGACTGTTTCCTATGTTGATGTTGAATCTTCTTAAACTTTATGATGAGTTGCAGCTCGTAATAGCTGCTTTGTTACTCGCTCCCTTTTTGATTGAAACTACAAAGTATTTGATATCTTTATGCAAGAGAGGTAGGCATAGATTGCATCTAGGAATTTGCAGGTTTTGAAAATAAGTGTAATCGGACAAATCCTTTTTTACTTCTGTGAGTTTTTTGCTTTATTGTTTTTTCCATCATGTTGGTAGTTTTTGTACTTTCTTGTACCTAGATGGGGTATGAGTTTCCTCCTGCTGAGAGATGAAGTGTGAAAGGAAAAGTTGCTATTCTGGTAGTAGAATACTCAACCAGACCACTCTTCCTTTCAAAAGGCCAGTGACCCCGCCAGTATACTATTCTGTATCACAGAGGGAGAAATTAAGCCTCCACAGAATTTCCATTAAAATCTCATTGAAGTTTCGAATTCTGAAGCAGTCAGAATCTAGGAAATGCCAAAATAAAGGGGATGAAGGCAATACTACTTCAGTCCTTTTATGCCTATGTGTTATGATACAGCATTTAAGTTCATGATGACATGCTGTTTGTTTTTTATTACACACTAGTGTTGGACTCAGGAGTGAAGCAATCCTATTCTTTGTAGGATTTCATCAACTTTATTTCAGAAATTAGGATCTTTCTAGTGACTGGGGCATGGGACTGCAGAAAGAGTGAAAATGACTGTGATGGTCAAATATCACCCAGGGGGATTACATTTTTAATCGAATCAGTTAAATTAAGTGATGACTAATTACAGTTCCTCATGTAACAGAGACACGTGGATGTCAGCCGTAGGGTTAGAACTTGGTATGTGATGCAGAGTTCTCTTCCATTAGAATTAAGGGAGTAAATGGTAACAGTAAGCCATTTTCCCCAAAGGGAGACTGGTCCCATTTTTCTCCCTCTTGTGCTAATTCCCAGTTGATTTCAGGGGTAAATGACTGGCACTTAGCTTGCTGCTTCTTGTCTCTTTGCTAAGCTACTCCCAAATATCCTTCTGTGGCTTAGCTTCTTCTAACACCTGTGTTTTCTGTACTTAAGACTCTACCTGAAGAGTTACTAAATCTCAGTACAATCTGGTTTTGCATATGGCCAAAGACGCCAAACGCTATGTATTTGCATTTTAAAGTGATCAACACAAAATGCATAAAAAGTATTGGGAGCGGGAATATGTTCACTTCTTTTGAGGATGTATGCAGGTCAGCTTTTAGGTCTGAGGGAGGTTTCACCACGTTCGTTAGCATAGCTGTTAGGCTCCAGCAGTGGCTCTCTTATTCTTGAGCAACTGTGATCCTAACAGTTCGTCTTATAAAACATGGGGGTAGTACAGCTTGG